TTCTGCTGCCGTCCTCGTCGAGATCCAGATTAAAAAACATGATTTTCGCGATCTCGATCGGTCGAACGGGAGAGACGGAGTTGTTGGCTGTTAGTTATGAAAACACGTCACGAGGAAAATATTTTGCAAGTGGCGACCATAACTTGCACATATTCTATCCTCGAAGAGGATCCATAAGGAGTGGGACCACGGATTACGGAAAGTGATACGTAAATTTGTCCGTTTCTCAGAGATGGCAATCGATATGGCTCTTTTACTTGAGCGGGGCGAGGACGAAAGCTTTGAGAACGAAGCCTGGGTATCCCCACCCTCGTCGCTCAGAAAAGCTCTTTGTGCAACCTGGGCAACTATGTGCAACTTAGGCAACTTTGTGCAACTATGGCTTCCTTTGATAATATTCAGACTGACTGTTGGGACGGTCCAAGAAGGGGGAGCAGAAAATGTTTTCAGGCGGCATGCATGGTTCTTCATGCGTGTGCCGTAGATAACTCGTTGATGCTCGTAGTATGCCATATTTACATTTTTTATTTCGACCTCAAGGTTGACTGTAGAGTGAAATTATCCTCTGGCACTTGTTTCTAAAGCTGCCTCATGGGAGACTGGAATCTCCCCCCCCCCCCTTTTTTTTTAATTGCTTGAGACGGAATGCAGGAAGCGAAGATGTTACAGAACTGGTTCTCCGTGACCCGCTGAAGATGTACAGGGTGAAATCGCATGAAACCTTTACAACTTAGAATGAGCCTAACTTCTGAATGAATCGCTTCAAGTATAATTTGAAGCGATTTTCTGCATATTGTTAAGCAACTCAAAAAGTTTATTGCAGCAGATTTTTTGCGTTCCAGGTTCCAACAAAATCGGACGTTCAGGTGCAACGTAGTTTTGGCTGTTGCCCGTAAGTCCTACGAGATTGCCAGATTTTGCCAAAACTTGGCAAAAAATTACGTCCGATTTTGTTTCGATGAACCATGCTACGCACTGCGCCTTTTCCTGTGGTGTGTCGTCATTTTCGGATTGTTCAATCACCTGCAGTCACCTGGAACAAAAAAAATTCTGCTGTAATAAACTTTTTTGAGTTGCTTAACAATATGCAGAAAACCGCTTCAAATTATATTACCCCATTCGGAAGTTAGGCTTATTCTAAGTTGTAAAGGTTTCACGTGATCACCTTGTACCACATATCTTTTTTTTTCTCGAATTTTTGGTATAACAATTGACCTTCGCAGTCTGGAATCGTGTGGTTGAAAGTTTGCTTTATCGGTATTTGTAGGCTGCCGAATTTTCCTCCTTCCGTTCCTTCTGGGATGGAAAACACTCAACATCGGTATAGAAAGGGGGGAAACGCCTTGATGGCACTCTGAATGCCTGGTTACCGCAATCACCGCGATCCTCGCGTTGTGTATGTCGAGTATATGATTGATTAACGTCAACGTAATTGGCCCCAATCTGGCACCCTTAGTACGATCGCGTTGTGTGGAAATAGAAGAGAGACGACGGAAGCCCTTGGGAGTCGACTTCCATCAAACGAGAGTGTCTGCTTTCCCCGGTCCTGTCTTCATCAACGCTGCTACTTCAACGTCTTCTTTCGCTCGGGCTCTTTTGTAATGACAGCTTCGCCTTTTATCTTATGAATTCGTCATGTGCATGGGTTTCCCTCGGGGAAGAGGGGGGGGGGGGAACAGGGTTGATAATGTTTCAGTGTCAACATGGGTCGACGAGTGCTCGTACAATTTCTGATCCGCATCGTGGAAGTCGAGTTCATCCCGACTTGATTACTTTCTGGATTGCTTACATCAGGGTAGGTGATGGAGACTTAATGATAAATTATTCTACCGCAATCATTTCATTCGCTCAGGCGGGCTGCTCAATTTCCGCTCTTGAGAACCGGTTCGTGTACCGCCCGCGATAAGGCAGGTGATAAGCGGCCGAGGTTACGAGGCGATGGGTGGGAGCCTCCGAGCCTCCTTCAGTTCTCCAAGGCGCTAGTCTTATCACTGGCAGGAAGTGGCGAGCCGGGCCCTCGCGGTTTCAGCGGGGAACTTCCCCCTTTGTCTGGGGGTCCGACGCTTCAGGAAGGAAAGCTGGGATTCCATAATAGAGGGACTCGAGTGACAGGTGACTCGAGCACCTGGAAAATGGAATACATTTTGTGAGAAGTTATCTACGGTGTGGTCCACAATTGTCTCTCCAAAAGTAAAAGCTCATAACTCAGGAAGTATACATCCGACTTCCATGATATATGCTTCAAATGATAGCCAATTCGATATATTTTTATTGTGGAAAACTTTAGCATTCCATTAAAAAAAACTAGAACAAAGTTACATCCTTACAAATGAAAGCCGCTAAATCACCAGTGTTCAACATGACTTCCACAATTGTCAATGACTTGGTGCAGTTGTTCTTCGAATGCCAGCAGAATTCTCTCAATCACCTCTGGCCCTACCGTGGGGAATGGCCCGTTTCGGCATATCTAAGTTTTCGTAAGTCTGCCGATGAATCTCTTCAGGCTCAGAAACCTCTTATGAATTGCCTTCATGGTCTTCTCGTCCAAACTGAGGCATTGGGACCCAAACTGAAGGCATTTCCAAATTTTCTCCACACAAATTTGCTCTTCAAATTATCAAACTAAATAGCAGTTTTCGTCTTCTGCAGGATAATGAGGTCACCCATGACGTAGACAATCCCTCGCGATGCATGAAAAAGCCAGAAATGAATTGCGAAATTCAAGATGGAATTGCGAAATTCAGAAGGGATGGCGATATTTACAGACTTTAGTTGCGCGATATGGGTACTTTCATTTGTTATGGTGTAACTTTGTTCTAGTTTCTTGTGGAATGCTGAAATTTTCCACAATAAAACTATATTGAATTGGCTATCATTTGAATCAGATATCATTGAAATCGGATGTATACTTCCTGAGTAATAAGCTTTTACTTTTGGGGAGACAATTGTGGACCACACCGTAGATAACTTCTCACAAAATGTATTCCATTTTCCAGGTGCTCGAGTCACCTGTCACTCGAGTCCCTCTATTATGGAATCCCAGCTTTCCTTCCTGAAGCGTCGGACCCCCAGACAAAGGGAGAAGTTCCCCGCTGAAACCGCGAGGGCCCGGCTCGCCACTTCCTGCCAGTGATAAGACTAGCGCCTTGGAGAACTGAAGGAGGCTCGGAGGCTCCCACCCATCGCCTCGTAACCTCGGCCGCTTGTCACCTGCCTTATCGCGGGCGGTACACGAACCGGTTCTCAAGAGCGGAAATTGAGCAGCCCGCCTGAGCGAATGAAATGATTGCGGTAGAATAATTTATCATTAAGTCTCCATCACCTACCCTGATGTAAGCAATCCAGAAAGTAATCAAGTCGGGATGAACTCGACTTCCACGATGCGGATCAGAAATTGTACGAGCACTCGTCGACCCATGTTGACACTGAAACATTATCAACCCTGTTCCCCCCCCCCCCCCTCTTCCCCGAGGGAAACCCATGCACATGACGAATTCNGACTGGGCTTGTCCAGCTTGTTATTTAAGCTGTCTTGGAGATTCCTGGTCGTTGCTGGATGGTCCAGAAAGCCTCCGCCATTCACTCGATAGACCCCGTTGCTGTCAGTGTTTTGGCGCTGCTCGCGGCGTGGGTGAGACAACGATGGTAAGCGTGAAAATAGGCCGTGCTCGTGATGGCGCTCAACCGCTTCGGAACGATCATGGTGATCGACCACTCGATGATCATGGTCCGACGTTACGCTCTAGATCGCGTTCCAACAGCCCATCGTAAGAAGCTCACTCGTCGAAACGGTTGGGAATCCGAGATTGGCACGACAAGAGTGAAAGGGATCGCACGCCGACCCAGACGTTCCAAGGACTCTGGATAAAAACCTTGCATGCTCCTTGAAACATTTGTTGAGAGCTTGACTCGGTTTTGAGGTCGCAAAAGGCCTGTGGCTTCGTTTATCGGACTGCTCCGCATGTATTTATATTTATATGTGACAATATTTATATTAATAGCGGCGACCCAAACAAACCGCGACGACCCCTGTTCAAAGGCTTCATAAAATACGACTCAAAAATGTAAACTCAAAAGCTCCGTAAGAAAGGTCTGAAACTGCATCCGCTTTTTGTGTTCTCTTTTCTTATTCATGTGAACACTCATGATGCACCCGGAGCACGTCGTGGAGAAACCACGAATGCCAAATAGGATTTCACTTTGGTTCCTGCGTGGTGTTCCACGGGTATAACCTTAAAAGGGCGACGGGGAGACGATGCCCATCGACTTCTCGCTCCGTCACGAGCTAATACTGAATAAACTACTCCTGGGTGTTATTACAAGCCGAGCTATGTTAATCCCCGAGCCGATGTTGACTCGACGCAGGCTTTATCTTGTAGGTCCATATTGCACATGTGACCTTCAACTCGTGTGACCTTCAATGCATGCGACCTTCAGTTCAGGCGGGCACGGGGTAGAGCAGACACGCTGCGTTTTCCCACGATTTCAGATTCTCCATGTGATTCAAAAACAGCGGATTCCAATCGAATGCCTGGATTCCGAATCTGGCTGGCTCGTTTCTTCCGTATTGATGCACCAGACGGAATGGTACTTCGTACTTCGTGCCAGCCAATCGTTCCCAGTTCGGCCTTGCAAACCAGGGATCCGCATCCGAGCTGGATCCGAGACGAAAATCATCTGCAAGAATCTTCCGGGGGAATTACGTGGGACGGAATCTTGATAAGTGAAGATCTGGGACTGACGAAGATCGATACGGTTTCAAAGCTGCTATTTCAGGAGAAGAAGGCTGAAGGTGGAAGGGAGGGGGAGTCAACTGTAGGGGGGGGGAGTCCTGGCTTCTGCTCATCAAGGTGGAGCGATGAGAAGCCATGCGCGCAGAGACCATACTGTAGCATAGAAAACCAACTCCATTCTGTCCCCCACTCTCACTCACATTCACACACTCTGAAGGAACGGAAGAAGGGGATAACTACTGGACTCAGGTGATTCTTCCTCTCTAGCATGTTCACGTGTTCCTGTAGACATGGCTCAAGACCCTGTGACGGGGAATCTGACCATCGCCGCTTCGACTGCTCTCGCCACCGCCACCACCCCCAGTGGGACGACGGAAGCGGAGGCAGTGGTCATCCCGGACCCTATTTACGTGTCCATTCTCAAGGGTCTCGTCATGACGTCTATCATCTTGACCTCCATATTCGGCAATCTCCTGGTCATCATTTCTGTCTCTCGGTTCCGGAAGCTCCGCATCATCACAAACTACTTCGTGGTCTCTCTGGCTTTTGCCGACATGCTGGTCGCCCTCGTGGCCATGGGGTTCAACGCAAGTGTTCAGATCTCGGGGAGATGGATATTTGGCTACCGCATGTGTGATGTCTGGAACTCGTTCGACGTGTATTTTTGCACAGTCTCCATTCTCCACTTGTGCTGCATCAGTGTCGACCGATACTTGGCGATCGTGAAGCCCTTGGATTACCATAGAATGATGACTGGTAAGAAAGTGGCAATCATGCTGGCTCTTGCATGGATTCTTCCGGCTTTCATCTCATTCCTGCCGATCTTCATGGGATGGTACACGACGAGCGAGCACCTGCAAGAACGCGCTGCTAATGTCAATATGTGTGTATTTGTCGTGAATCAAGTGTATGGGATTATCTCTTCCTCGGTGAGCTTCTGGATCCCTACTGTGATCATGGTTTGCATGTACGGACGGATTTTCGTGGAAGCCGATCGTCAAGAACGGATGCTTTATCGGAACAGTCTCTTCCTCACGGCCATGGTCACCTTAGATGGCCTTGCCGGTCAAGGTGAGACCGCACTTCCTTCATATCGTCTCTAATCTCCCCCGGTTCTCAAGGGGGAAACCGACCCTCGCACAGGAGATGCCATCGTGCGATCTGCACGAACAGGCCCGGTATTAAAGTCTGTCGCCGAGAAACGACGCGCGTTCGATATGAAATGGAAGAGGGAGAACCACTGGGTAGGCGGGAGCTTTTAGAACAAAGAAGCAATAAGGAAGGGAGGAGAAGCATCGTAATCTAAGGTCAAGGGGCCATATAGATGGCCTTTGGATCGTGTCCCGTCCATCATGCGGATGAAAGATCCCGGAAAAAGTAACCCTAGGATGGCCATAATATTCTGAAGTCACCGACTCGTCTTTTCTCATCGATTCCATCCTGACTGACCTTGGAGAAATAACGGAAGAACGTGACTCAAGTTCTACTTGGAATCGGGAGGCGATTGGGCGGTTACAGTTTTGCGTGACGTCGGATAGACATCAGTCGTTGATGCATGAATCAATGATGCAACTGCCTAGGTCAGTTCATCTATTCATGCGATGCATGAATAAACACAATAATATATTCAATACCAATTTGGCCAAAAATATCCCGGAGACCTTCAGACATATCTTGGGAATCCTCGTCGATGAGCTGTTCTCGAACATCTCCAATGCAGAGGATCCATCTAAATTTCTACGAGAGAAGTGTCATTCTTTTGTAGCCTCCATCATGAGATTCGCGAAAGCTGGAAATCCTTACAGGGAGAGAAATACGTTTCGCGTCAGCGAAGAAACTTCTCAGAATGTTTGTCGATACCGAATTCTTAAGCGCACTGATACGCATAAGAGTCTTTAGGAAGGAAAAAGATGGGCAGCAAAATAGGGGGGCTCCGGTAATTGGCAGGAGGGAATCCGTGTCGATTGATTCCAGGTGAGGATTGGATCCTGAAGAAGAGATTAAGGGAGCATTCCCGGGCCTGCTCCACTCTGGGAATTATGGGATTATAGCACTGGTATACGTCCCGATCCATATCCTTCCATGGAACACTGTAACTCCTCCCTTTCTTCTGGCGGTAATGAAGAAGCATGGTGGAGGCTGCATGCTGTCAATTTCATCTCGAACCGCTCTGTGTCGCCTCCCTTGTCTGCAGAGAAAATTGTGTTCAGATGGGGAGAAATCTGGAACGGATTCAGTTCCGTCTGGTATGAGCCGAAGAAAAGAGGAGGAATAAGTCAGGTTAAGTGACTCATGGGCCCTCGTCTAAAGTCGTGCTCTATGAGCGTCCTATGCATGCAAATGTGCGGATTTTCGGCCTCAGATCACATTCGAGAACCCTCGACTTCTCTTCACGTATCGTATCGAGGACTATAAGCTTCCTGGATCGGCTGCATTTCCTCTTTTATAGATCATCCCTCTCATCCATTCTATCGCTATATTCCACGCCTATGGGCTTGAGCCTTCACCTTCTTTTTCTCGCTTGTATATCTCACACTTTCTCTTTAGTTTCTGCTGATCTCCTCCCCCCCCCTCTGGCTTTCCCACCCACGTACGATAATCCGATTCCAATAGGATTTCCAAGAATAGCCCCCAAGCCAGGATATGTAACGAAAAAAGAAGCAGGAAATGTGGCATCGCGAACGTGAATACCAGGAGACCACCGAGCTCGCTGCAAACTGTTCTATCTTCCCGCAGAATTCAACGAAATCGAATTTCGACGCTCGAAAAAGAGTCCCTTGTTCTTTTCCAACCCTGAAGAACTGAGATAGGGAGGAAAAATTCTCGCCGAAGAGAGGGAGAAGGAACCCCCTACCCAGAACCAATAATCCCGGCGGATTCATTAGGAGACATCCCATGAGAGATATGTATTTACGATGTCTTAATTCCCCGGTCCGCAGGGGTTTGGCGGGACCATAATTGAAAGAAGCAGGTGAAGAAGAAGATTATGTCTCAGAGCCAAAGGTGCCGCGGAAGGGAAGGAAAGACCGGGAACGATCCGGGAGCTTCTCAATATCCAATCTCATTCTTTCTCTCTCCTCTCTTGCTTCTTCTCTCGACGCGCCCTCTCTCTCTCTCTCCATAAGTAAGATTTGTTTCTTATAATCGATCCGTGAAGATTACTGTATTAGCTTCGTTCAGGCCCTTTTCTCCAACAGCTAACGATTTTGCCGAGACCTTCCTCCGCGGGCACGCACTCGGGCATCGATTCGCCATGCGTCAAATAATAAAGATCAGGAACGTGATTACAAATGCATGGAGCCGTACTGCACATAACGACGGGCCCTTCGACACCAGCAATGGATATCTCTGTCAGTACCACTGGTCTCCACAGTACGCGTTCGGCCGAGATTCCGCAGATTTGCAAACACGATACAATTCTGTCGGATCGAGATACGTTCGAAGGTTCGTCTGGAAGAGCGAGACATGGCCGCAACTCCGGGAAATGCACTTTCCGGTTGTGCTCAGTCACGGAGGAGGGATCGAACGGGAATGGGAAAGTTCTATTGTGTCTGTAAGGGAGTCGAGGTATTGTGTGATGCTCAATCCTCGTCTGTATCCACCCCCTTCCCCCGTATACAAAGAGGAGTCGATTGCAGGGAGAGATGGCCAGTTGATTATGGGTCTCGGTAATCCATCTTGGCCATCAGCTGCACTCGCTGATACGCTTTCGGCTTGAAGACCGGACGTCGTACTTAAAGGCGGACGATGTCGCCCGACATCAGGAGGAGTCAGAGATGATAGCCGTTTTGCATGAGATATCCCGGCTTAATTTCCAAGAATACTTTCGTCGCTTAGTGCCGTCATTTCGGCAAGGAAATGACGTCTCAACGTGGACTCTGTCTCCTCCACTCCCCTCCATTATTTGATCTGGAGCTCGTATGGACGTATACGACATTATCGCGATCACCTAGAGAGAGAGAGAGAGAGAGTGTGTGAGAGAATGAGACAGAGAGAAGAGTCAGAGGGATCCATTGTGTGTTCTTCTTCCTAGCCATTATCCCTTCTCGGCAGGAAACACTTTCATACACTCACATCTCCCGTCTCGACCCTTTTCTTCTTTTCCTTTCTTTCTATCTCTATTTCTTCTTTCTCTCCCTCCGCCAGGTCCACTCCACTATCAGTCTATCTGCTGGACCTGTTGTGAGAGTCTGCTTCCTCTGTTTCTTTCTTTGTTTCTCTCGGTATGATGGCAAACGTAACCTGGTTATTACTGGGCCATCCTTTCATCTCTTTCTCGTCCCAAAAGGAAATGGTCTCGTTTGCCAAGGGCCTTCGGCTCTACGTCGGTGTAATGCACTTCTCTGCTTCTCCGACGGATTATTTTTCATGGAGATGGTTTCTCAAGGGACGACATGACATGATTCCACTTGACAACTACTGTGGTGTGAAGATCCTATAATGAATTCCCCTCATTTTTTAGCGTCTCTATACGCCTCTTCCTTGTTGACTTGCAAAAAAGTTAAAATAGGACGGAGAATGTCAGAGTATGAGTTTTCCTGGGAGTGGGAGGAATTGAAGTATGTCGTTCGTCTCCCCATTGTGATCTGAGAATATGGGAACCTGGGAAGGTCTCATGATTCGAAGTGACGTTAGCTCTGGATTTCCATCGCAGATATCTCTCCTTACCTTGCATCCCTGCATGAGATCCCTGTTTCTCTCCAGACGTTTTTATCATACTCGGCTTGTCTTGAAGCCAAGAGAAAGAGGGAAAGAAAGTCGGCCTCGTTGCGAAGGTGTGAGACCATATGCACCCCGTTGATGTCAGCGCGACGCGAGTGTCTACGACTTTATCCTCATCCTATGACGATGTACCGACCCAAGGAAAATAAACTTTTTTTTCTTTCTCTCTATCTTCCTACAATGGACATCATGATAAGGGGATTCCGTGCGAAAGGCAAACAAACGGACTGATACAGTTATTCATGCTCGATGAAGACAGTAGAAAGGGGAGAAAAAAGGCAGCTTCAGAAATGCGACATGCTGGGTCGAGGAGGAAACTCTCCATGACAATAGACGAAGCACCGTTTTTGCTGACTGCTTCGAAGTAGATGAAGACAGCCTCCGATTCATGTATGCTCTGTCTCGGGTCTTTTCTCATTCCCCTCCCCTCAAACCTCCTTCTGAACCAGCGACTCGAAAAATGACAGGGCAAAACGACGTCGATCATCATGCCTCGAGGGGTAGATGCGCAGCCTTCGAGGCGGGCACGCCCGGGCCATCAAGGATCCCGGCTGTCGATCCGTTTCTCGGGGGCAGACCATCTCCGCCCTCCCTTCTCTCTTCCTGTCATTCCCTCTCTCCCTCTCTCTCTCTCTCTCTTTGCTCTCTTCCTCTTTTTATCTTCGGGATTCAATCAAGAGTTGGCTGGAGTTGAAGCACGGACTCTCTCTCTTTCGCTCTCGTACCAAAGCTAGTTGTGTAAATAGACGATATTTCTTGGCCTAATGAGCGAAGACAGGAGAACGGTAGACCGGTCCTAATCCTCATGTCCTTCCACTTGTCTTCTTGCTTTCGCTTCCCTGTGAAATGTAAGCCCGGCGCTCTTTCCCGCGTTTCAATTCTGTCATTCCGAAGAGTTACTGAGACGTCGCAGGTGAGGATAAAGCCTAAATTGGCTTGAATCACGCCCATTCCGAGCCGGCATTCCAAGATGACAACCATTCGCACGCAAGTGGAACTCTCTCAGTGTCAGAGTCTCTCCTTAATTAGTGCAATAAAGTAGCGGATGACAATTTGGGAGAAGCATGGCCACCGCTTTCCTCCCTTAATCGATAGGAGGTCCCTGTGTACACGAGTTTATGACTTTTCTTCGCTTTTCTCATGCAGTCTCTTATCTTTCTCCTCGGCACGTATAATAACCGAGGAGCAGGTGGATTTTTGCCCCTCTCCTTCCGAGCCCAGGGCCAGCCTCGAGATGCAATGCCCCAAGTCCTTGAGCGAAGCTGTCCCATAAATCATGGCGATTTCACGGCTGTCTCGGGAATTCCACGCGGACGATCTCTGTCCCGCTCAGAACAATGACCGCGTTC